AAAACTTGATCTTGAAAAGTTTCAAGAGATGATGTTGTCATGTATTGGAAGGACAATTCTAAAAAATATCCCGATCTTTCAATGATGGCGCGTGATGTACTTAGCATTCTTATTACCATTGTACCATCGGAATCAACATTTAGCATTGGTGGCGTGTTCTTACAAAGTACAGAAGTTGCATTTATTATGAAAATGTTCAAACAGTTGTTACTACTTGAAATTGGTTGCACAGGTTTTGCCGAACTCAAACTAGTAATATTTTTTATGTGAATTTAAATATTATTAATTTTTAAAATTTAATTATTTTTAATATTTAACTAATTAATATTGCATATGAATTGTAGATGAAAGTGAATATGTTAAGACAACCTTGTCACAAGCGGATTCAAATGTGTTTGATGAAGATGGTGTGTTGGATATCTCATAAGTATCATAAATGTTCTCTTGAATAGTTTGTTTTAAGTTTTGACTTTTAGTGAATGAAATATAGTCCTGTCTTTTACTTTTTTTTATTATTTATTGTGATATATTGAAACAATATAAAAAGTTATTAAGTTTTGTGAATTATTTCCAATAAGATATTTTTTAACTTTTAAATAATCATCTTTTTTTAGGTCAGAACTTAAAGAAAAAATATTAAATTATATTTTTAAAAATAATGGGCCGGCCTGTGGGGGCTCGCGGCCCACATAGAGCTGGGGTGGGCTGACCATTATAAGGCCAATCAAAATGATGGACTAGCCTAGCCCAACCCATCAATTGCTAAAGTCCACGTGGGATGGACTGAGCTAATCCGGCCTGGCACATATTGACAGCTCTATGTAAAATTGCAAAGATAATATAAAGATAGCACTATATGAAAAAGGGCTTCTTAGTCCACTAGGCAAGCGCTTATTTGTCATATATATTGAACGAACTTCAACACAGGCATATTAGGAAAAAATGACATTATATAGCTGCTGTAAAAATAATAGCCGAAAAAATATATAAAATTTATTTATTTTTTTGTATATATACATTATGTATGTTATATACAAAAATTATATAAGTTTTATAATTATATATACTTTTTCAACTATTAAATATACATAATTTTTGGCGCGGGCTAAAAGTGAATCAACATGCCAAAGGAAAAATAGAGGTTGAACCAACCTGCNTATATATATATGAAGTCTGCTACTACGATTCTTTTCCATAAGTCTATTACTGAGTTTCACATTTGTGGATCATGAGCTGCTATATTTAGTATTTTACCTTTACTTCCTCCTTCCTGTAGTCTTATAAGTTCTTCTATAGGCATTCTTTTTCCTGATGGTTTTACATTTTCTATTTCTGTTTCCTGGTCTATTCTGTAAACTCTTTTTCGAGGTACATTTCCTGTGCTAGTATCTATTGTACTTTGATAAGTTGTTCTTTGAAAGGGGCTTGGGCTAGAACTAGTTGATTCCATCAATTCTTTTAGGCTTATTAGTGATTCTGTTTCTGTTTCTTCATAACTATCTTGTATTTCATCAAAAATTTTATCTAATTTTTTTGATTTTTTCTGTAAAATATTTTTCTTTCTATATCCCCAATTATCTGTTCTTAATTCACATTTCCTAAAATGTTTTTCTACTTTGTTTAAGGTTAACCGTCTAAGTTTGCATCCTTTACATTGGAAAGTCTGACTTTTATTTTCTTTAACTAGCCTCCTTGCCTTTTCTAGTGCTATATCTACCTCAAATTCATCTTGTATTATTTCTGTGTTCATGAATTCAGTATCGGTATCGTCTGTCGTATTTTCAATTATGTCATCTATTTCCTTTTGGGTAGAATAATTGTAATCAGTAAACCTGATTGAGGTTTCTCCTTTTGAGTTTGTATACATTAAATGAGATTCTGGTTTAAATATTTTTGGTTTTGCGAAATCTTCTAAATTCCATTCTAATCCAGCATATTCTTCTCGATTTATCTTAATAAGTTTTTTTAGTTTTATTCCTTTGTTTCCCATTACCTCGACTACATCGTCTACCTTAATTTTGAATCTTGTATTACTACTTGTTGCCATTTTTCCTATAAAACCTACACATATTAATAAATTATTTCCATTGTTCATTTCTTCATATCCTTTAGTCTGTATCCCTATTTTAATATTTTTTCCAAATTCTGCTAAATTTATCATGAAGTCTGGGCTGATATAAAATATTCCTCCATTATTGGTCATGTCTACTTCCGTTAAACCTAGTATGGATTTCTTTTGATCTGACCATCTGTCATCATATACTACTACTAATACTTTAGTTCCTAAATTTTTTCTAGTTAATCCTTTTAATCCGATTACTATTAATCACATATGCATTAAATTCTTTTTATAATTCTTTATTTGTCTTACTGAATCTGGATTAATTAAATTTAATGTTGCTACTTTACTTCCTATGGCTGATAATTGTTCTTCTCTATAATGTTTATATAATTGAGAACTATTTGAAAAATATCCTGTATTATATAATGTTTTTGGATTAAGTAGCCTTAGTTGATTTTGCTGAAAAATCTGTATGTCTTTGTCTATATCTATTATTTCATCCAGTTTTTGATTTTCTTCTTGTCTTTTTCTAGTTAAGATTCTTGCTAACATATTATTACCTATTCTATTATCTGAAAAACTTATTCATGGTCTTTCTTCGTCTGTTGTTCTTGACCTACTTTGAAGAAGGTCCATTTTTGTGGTTTTCTTATTTTAATTCTATCCTTTTGTGGTGTTATCTCAACTCTTTTTAATTGTTCTATTAAATCGTCTACCTTTGGGATTTCTGTTTTTATCTCTTTTTCTTTAATAATTTTATCTAGATTTTTATTGACTTCTAAAAGTAATATTATTAAAGTATTATTTTGTTTAATTATTGTTTGATCAGTTTTTCCTTGAGGAGTATAACTAGTTAGCCCCTCTAGATTAGGTTGAATTCTTTCCGTGAGTTTTAATGCGTCTTAATATACCGGATCTAATTCTAGTTTTATATCACTCTTGAAAGAGCTATTTCTTTTATCGCGTCTATCTTTTCTTTTAGGGTACTTATCTCACTTTTTAGTACTTCTACTTGATCTGTTATTGTTTTCTACTAATCTGGTTGTTTGTATTTCTAATTCTTTAGGCTTTTCTGTAATAGTGTTAATTAATTTTTCTATTTCGTTTTTCGTAGGTATCTTTTCTAGATTAAACTTATTATTCAAGAGTTGTATTTTTCTATCTATTTCTAGTTCTTGTGATTTTATGAAGTCTAGATTTTGTTCTAATTTTTCTAGAGTTCTTTTTTGTTTGTTTTGTACTACTTCTATTAGTTCTAGTGTTCTTAATAAATTTTTATTATTTTCTTGTGTTTTTTCTCCAAAATTTATTATTAAATCTATTAAAGTGTTGTATTGCTTATCCTCGTTATGTAATATATGATCTCCACTACTAAAATTGCACTTAATTATCGTATTATCTTTTAATATTCTATACTTCTTTTCCGGATATATTTTTAAATCTAAATATTCGAGGTTCTTTAAATTAGCTATTTTGATTAACCTAATGGTATCCAAATTTTTCTTTTCTTAAAAAAATTTATTCTTTGATTTTCTCTATATATTTCTCCTTATATATGTTGTATTTCCCACTTTAAAGCTGATATGGTTTCTGAGCTAATACTACGTTTTACTATAAAACTTGGTTCTCTATTGATTTTTAAGTCTGATTCTTCTATTTGTTTAGCTAATTCTAAAGTTGATATTAATAAGATTGTAGTCTGTCGTAGTATTTTCTTTAATTCTTCTTTTCTCAGTATTTCTCTTCTTAAAAGCCAATAATTACAGGCTATCTCTTTAGTTATAGGATGTTGTCTTAACATATGTTTTATCCTAATGGAATATACTTTATCTTATTTCTAGTTGTTCGTATATAATCCTTCTCTTTTTGTATTTCACTATTAGTTATTTCTATTTCATGAAAAAGGAAATTCTGAAAATCTTCAGTATTTAAGATATCTAGTTCTGGTTCTAATATTCTTATATATTTTATATAATTTCTAATGGTTTTGCGGCTAATATATATTAGATGGTGATGGTAGCTTATATATTTAGCGAAAAGTAATTGTTTCATAAACTATTTAGTCCGAAAATCTTCTAGCTCTGATACCAATAAAAAAGGATAAAAAGTAAAAAAGATATATATATATATATATATAAAACAGTAAATGCAATTGTTGACTAGTTGTGTAAAGATCCCAGATACCCTCCATATAAAAAATGATATAAAGTCCTTATATTAAATATTTATATATTTTCTCACTTAAGTAAATCTTAACAAATTGCTGAAGCAACATCCTACTAATTGAGTATACGTAGTCTGGTAATTAAGGTAATTAAGCAACTAGACTCAGAATAAACTTATTCTAAGGGTTACAGGCACTTAAGTCATTTTCAACACTGACATCTCTTTTCTCCCTAAGCATAGTTTTACAAAACTGCAAATTCCTTAATGTAAGTGATTTGGTTAGAAGAAGGGGAGTCTTGACGTAATTGATAAAATTATTGTCATGTGACCAGGAGGTCACAGGCTCGAGCCGTGGAAACACCTCTTGCAGAAATATAGAATAAGGTTGCGTACAACAAACCCTCGTGGTCCAGCCTTTCCCTAGACCAAGCGTATAATGGGAACTTGGTGCACCGGGCTGCCCAATAGAAACATTAGATAAGTCTATGCTTCTTGATTTTTTTCCGGACTCGCAGCATATGTTTTGACTAATCGATAAGCACATCAAATGGAAACACCTAAATCTGTCTTTTTTTTTATTAAGCCATCACCAAGGCTAGTGTTGTTGGTGTTGAGGGGTTAGGCTCGACCTCTACCATGTCTATTCACATGCAAAAATTACAAAAAGGAGGGGGACATGAACCTTAACCTCCAAAAGAAATATGATTGTTGTCGTCTTCAAAAAAAGTTGGAAGAGAGAGCTTGTACAACTCTTTCATAGCTAACTATGAATTCAACTTACAAAGAAATTACTTTTATCGTATCTTCTTCTAATACTAGGAAGTTGCCATTCGTCAAGTTGAAAATGTCCCTTCACCTCTTTCGGAAGTTGTTGAAAAGAGTAGTAGAAGGTACCGTTTCCACTAGACAAGGCTAACTTAGTTAAAGAATCTGCCACTTGATTTGCTTCTCTAAAGCAATGGATGAAGTGTACCTCTGCCTTACTTACTGTCGAGGTGATGTGTTTGATCATCTTTCTAAGCTTGAGATTGTTGGTGTCTTCATTTTTCAGCATATTTGTCAAAATCAGAGAGTCTAATTCCAAATCGAAAGCACGTATTCCATTTTGACAACACCAGTCTACCTCATACTTGGTTGCTTGTGCCTCTGCTTGGTTGTTGCTATTGCATTGGATGGGAATTGAAAATGGCATAACCAAATCACCTATTTCACTCCTGATAACTTCTCTGATGCCTGCTCTTGAATTGTTGCCTAGAAAACTTCCATATGTGTTAATCTTAAACCTTCCTGCAGGCTTTTGCCAAGATACCTATCTCCGTACTGCCACTGGTTTGAGTTGTTCAATGGTCTTGCATTGTTGAGCCCAAGTGCCAGTTGTTTTTAATTATGGGAAGGCAATGGAAAGAGCTGCATTAATGGTCCATTGTATTTGCACCTCATTCTTATATTAACAATTTATTTTGGTTCCCCATATTTACAAGCTGTCCAACTCCTCCAAATTTTCCAGAAAATACAAATTCGAACAATTTGAAGGAGTAGTTTATGAACCTCATTCTTAGGCCTTGTATCCCTCCAATTTTTCAATATCATATTTGGAGACCAATGTTGATGCCTAATATCAAGCAATGCACCAAAGAAATTCCATATGTGGTTGGCAGCATGTCCTTCAATAAAGACATGTTGGATCGACTCGCACATGAGATTTGAGCAGCAGAAGCACATAGATGATAACTGGTTGTTAAAGTTGTTAATTATTTCATCGAATGGTAACCAGTGGCAAAAATAATCTCCAAGTTATAAAAGATATCTTAAAGGGAAGACGTTTGTGCCATACCTAAGATATAACATGGTTCTTATCCCTTTTGTGCCTGATCATATTTCATGCAGATGTGTTGGAGAATTGTCCATCTTGAGTAGCATTCCAGATGGCATAATCACGTTGATCCTCATGGTCAATCTCAATGTTAAAGATCTGCTACACCATATATTCTGGAAGAATTCTTCTCAATTTGTTAAGGTCCCATCTTCTTTTTGTGAAGTACACCTTGTCTTTAGCTTTATAGTTGGTTATATCATCTGGATAGAGAGTAGCCAAAGCACCCCTTTCGCTCCAATTATCCCACCACATACTAGTGTCTCCATTGTTTATTTTCTAAATGATCTTTGCTTCTGCATTATCTCTGGCATTAAGAAGGAATTTTCATGCTTGAGAGTTACCAGAATGCCACTTTTTTGCTGAAGGGTGAAATCTAGTGCAATACTTGGCTTTTAGGAAGTCCGGCCACAAAGAGACCTAAGTCCTAAATCTCCACCATCTTTTAATGGCAAAAGTATTAGAGATGTCAGTCATGTCCCTAATTTCAATACCTCCTTCATCTATAGGCAGGCAAAGGTTTTTCCAAGATCTCCGATGATATTTTGCTTAATCAACATTAGAACCCTAGAAGAACCTAGCAAAGTGCATTTCTAGAAGATTAAGAGATGTTTTTGGAGGATTAATAGCAGTGAGAGTATATGTAGGCATAGACTAAAGCACACTTTTGATTAGAACCATTTTCCCACCATATGTGAGCATCTTACCTTGCCACCCATTGAGTCTCTTTACAACTTTAGTGAACATATCATCAAAATAACAAATCTTCTTCCTCCCTACATAGATAGGGCAACCCAAATATGTAAACGAAAAAGTTTTATCCATAAAACCAGTATAAGCTCTAATCATATTGATCCTGTAAGCACCAGCTTTAGGGTCAGTGAGAAAAAAACTTTTTTGTTTGTTCACCCTTGACCAGAAGCCTTCTCATAATTGGTAATTTGCTTCATAATCAGCTTCACTGGCCTGCTGTTGCCACTGCTAAAAATGATAATATCATCTGCATAGGCAAAGTGGTTAATCTGAGGACCTCTTTGATTCATGGAGAAAGGAATAAAGTTGTTGTTGTTGTTGTTGTTGTGTAGGTTGTTGAGTGACCTGGAGAGGACCTCTGATGCTAAACTAAAGAGTGAAGGGGATAGCGCATCACCTTGTTTCAGGCCTTGTGATGAAGAGAAGAATCTATTTTTGGATCTACTAATAAGAACAGAATACCACACGTTGGAGATAAGTCTCCAAATACTATTAATCCAAGCATCGGAAAAGCCAAACCTTTTTAAGACTGCCACAAGGAATGTCCATGACATTCTATCGTAGGTCTTGGCCATATCAAGCTTTAGAACAATATTTTTCCCAGTATTCATCTTGGATATATTATGGATAATTTTCTGGGTAAGCATAACATTTTCTGTGATTAGTCTACTAGAAATAAAGTCACTTTGATTCCTGGACACTAACTTGTTTAACAGAGGATTGAGTCTTCTAGAAATAATCCTGGAGATGGTTTTATTGGTGTAATTGCTCAAACTGATGGGCCTAAGATCAGAAAAGGTGGAATGATTCTCCACTTTTGGTATAAGAGCCAAACAAGTATGAGTATAGAATTTAGTCAATTCTTTTTCATTGAAGAATTCTGCAACAAAGTCCATGATATTTTGCTTGGCAATATTCCAGCATGTTTGAAAAAAAATTCCATTATAACCATCTAGTCCAACAGCACTATCAGGATTCATAGTAAAGATAGCCTCTCTAACTTCATCTTTATTAGGCATGCTATTAAGAAAAATATTTTCCTCCTTTGTAATCAATTGAGGAATACATTGCAGCAAATCATGATTCAAAGTTGGTTGGTTAAGGTTGAAGAAAGTGTTGTAATATTTGATTGTTGCTCTTGCAATTTTATCTTCACCTTGAACCCATCTATTTCTGTGGTTCTTGATTTTGTATATTTGTAGCCTCTTTCTTTTGTCTCTAAGCACATTATGAAAGAATTTGCTATTGCAATCCCTATCTTTGAACCATTTAATCCGTGCTTTTTGTCTTAGAAGAGAGTCTTGCATACCCATCCATCTAACATATTCTGCATGGCCCTTGTTTAGCTCCTCCCTATCATGCTCTGTGTTATTGAGAATGTCCAGCTCTTCTAATGCTTGGACCTTGGCCTCCCAAATACTGACTTGTTCCTTCACATTACCAATAATATTCCTGGACAATTGGCTAATATTTTTGCTTAGAGTTTTGAGTTTGCATTGAAGTCGCCACATCGCATTGCCAATGACATTCATGTTCCAAGAATCTTGAACAACCTCCGAGAAATTTGTTTGTTATGGCAACGTATCCAGAATTTTAACTTAATGGTTCAACATTTAACCTTTTTACCATTGAACTTGTTATAATTCGAAATTATGGGTGCAAAGTGTAATACTTTATTTTTAGTGTTTTCTCGTATAAATTGGAGCCTTGGAGCAACATTCAAGTTATCTCCGTATGACCTATAGGTCAGGGGTCCGGGCTGCGAAATCAGCAACCAATGATACTTGCATCAGAGTAGGTTGCCTACATCACACTCCCTTAGAATGCAGCCCTTCCTCGAATTGTGTGTGAATGCTAGATGTTTTATGCAGTGGGATGCCCTAAGTATTTTCCTATATTCACTAACTCCACCACTAGTTATGAATCATATTCCCATCATGAGACCAAATAAATAGGCTAGAGGGTTTGTCCATATATATGTAAAGCATGAAATAAAGCACCAAGGAGAGTAAACACAAGGCAAGATATGGCTTTTATTTCTCTATTGGCCTCAATAGGGTACTTTGAGATCTTTGTAGCAATCTTTTGCTTTTTTGTCTTGGCTTTACGAGGTGGAAATAGCTATAGATGGAACTGGCCATTTCTTGGTATGTTTCCAAGCCTTATTCTCCATATACATAGAATTCATGAAAGGAGTGTAGAGATTCTTTCGATAACTAAGGGTACTTTCTTGATAAAAGGCCTTTGGTTTACTAATATGGACATTCTTGGTACAGTGGATCCCCCAAATGTACACTATATTATGAGTGCAAATTTTACAAATTTTCCAAAAGGCCAAGAACTCAAGAAGATTTTTGATGTTCTAGGTGATGGAATTTTTAGTTCCGACATGGATATGTGGAAAAATCAAAGGAAACTTGCTAGAGCATTGATCATTAATGAGAGATTCCACAAGTGTTCGGCGAAAATCAGCATGAACAAGGTTAAAAATGGATTGATCCCAATCCTTGAGTTCATTGCTAAAGAAGATAGAATTGTGGATTTGCAAGATGTTTTCAAGAGATTCACCTTTGATACGACGTGTAAATTACTCACAGGTTTTGAATCTTGTTGCCTTTCTCTTGAATTCCCGGAAGTTCCCTTCTTGAAAGCCATGGATGATGCTAAATATGTTGTAACCATACGCTATCTATTGCCAGAAAGTGTTTGGAAGTTGCAAAAATGGCTAGGAGTTGGGCCTGAAATGAAACTAAGAAAAGCTTCGAATGTCCTTGATCATGTCATAGGTGAGTATATATTGATGAAGCGCGAAGAATTGAGTAGAGGAGAAAAACCTAAGAAAGATAATGAAGAGGGTTTTGATTTATTAACGCCATATATAATCAACGATGGAGAAACAACATCAGGGTTGAAGTTTGATACTAAGTTCTTAAGGGATACCTTTTTAAACTTCATGTTCACCGGGCATGACACGATTAGCCCAGGTCTTACATGGTTCATTTGGTTGGTGTCCACACATCCTGAGGTTGAGAAGAATATAAGGGAAGAACTTAAGGCCATCATCCCGATTGAAGAAGCTGAAAAATGGAGGCTTTTTACGGCTGATGAATTGAAAAATGCAGTTTATTTACTTGCTGCATTGTGTGAATCACTGAGGCTATATCCCCCTGTCGCATTTCAGCATAAGACTCCACTAGAACCTGATATTCTCCCAAGTGGTCACCATGTTCATCCTAATATGAGAATGATGATTCCTTTATGTGCAATGGGGAGGATGGAATCCATCTGGGGAAAAGATGCCTCGGAATTCAAGCCACACAGATGGATTTCAGATCGTGGAACGATTAAACATGAGCCATCTTACAAGTTCTTTTCTTTCAATGCAGGACCAAGAACTTGCTTAGGAAAAGAAGTAGCTTTCACTCAAATGAAATTAGTAGTTGCTACTATCATCTATAATTACCAAATTGAAATGGTGAAAGGTCATGTTGTTTACCCCAATCTCTCCGTTATGCTCTACATGAAACATGGCTTTAATGTTAGAGTTAAGAGGAAGTGGGCATAATACTTTTGTAATGTTACTTGTATTTCATGTTCAAATAATGGGAGTGTCATGACTAGCCCAAAAGGAAATAGTAAGTGTATTTTTCCTATGTGGTAATGTGAACTTAAATAACTTTTCCTCAAGTCTTTTACGTTTCAGTTGTGTTATGTGTTATTTCAAACTCAAATAGCTTGTTATATGAGATGTTAAATAATATATTTAATAAGCCTAAGCTTCACATTGACACACTATCTTACTTTATCCATCACATTTAGGGTGGGGCGATCCATCCTCGTGAATAATCAAGTTATAAGGTTACTTTTATTAATTAAAAATAATGGGGTGTGTCGTATGGTGAAACGGCAGGATTTGAAATTATGAATTTTTCACACCAATCTTAAGTTAATATATAATAATAACTTAGTTCACAATCAAATATTTATAAATATTTGAAGTCAAGTTTTTAGTTATCTGTTGGAAGAACGAATACGTTACATAGGCAACAGAAAGACTTATATAAGTAGTCAGATCCAAGAAGTTGCTCTTTACGTAAAGATTGAAAAATAAACCAAAAAGTCGCTGCAATTAATTTCTTTCGATTATCATTAGCAGCTTAGAATATTATATCATTATTCTCGAGTATAGTTGATAAAAAGCCATTTTTGTTATGATTTGTAACCTTAGTACGTTACGTTATGTGCATTATTGGGCAATAAGTCTTGTGGAGCTGCTTGGAGGCTAAAGGCGTTCCGATTGCCTACATTAGGGTGATTAAAGACATGTATGCTGGAGCTAAGACTCGGGTTAGGACAGTAGGAGGCGACTCCGAGCATTTTCCGATTGTTACGAGGTTGCACCAAGGGTCTGCGCCCAGGCCATTCCTGTTTGCCCTGGTGATGGACGCACTGACTCATTATATTCAAGGGGAGGTTCCATGGTGTATGTTATTTGCTGAAGACATAGTTTTGATTGATGAGACACGAGGCGGCGTCAATGAGAGGCTGGAGGTTTGGAGACATGCCCTTGAGTCTAAGGGTTTCAAGTTGAGCAGGACGAAGACAAAATACCTTGAGTGCAAATTTGGGGTCGAGCCGGCAGAAGCGGGAGTGGACGTGAGGCTTGACTCTCAAGTCATTCCCAAGAAGGGTAATTTCAAGTACCTTGGGTCGGTTATTCAGGGGATCGGGGAGATCGACGAAGATGTCGCACACCGTATAGGGGTGGGGTGGATGAAGTGGAGGTTAGCATCAGGAGTCCTGTGTGACAAGAAAGTGCCACTGTTACTAAAAGGTAAGTTTTATAGAGCAGTGGTTAGGCATGCCATGTTGTACTGGACGGAGTGTTGTAAGAACTCACACATCCAGAAGATAAAAGTAGCAGAGATGAGGATGTTGAGGTGGATGTGCGGGCATACTAGGATGGATAAGATTGGGAATGAAGATATTCGAGAGAAGGTAGGCGTGGCCCCCATGGAGGACAATATGCGGGAAGCAAGACTCAGATGGTTCAGACACATTCAGAGGAGGAGCACTGATGCACCGGTGAGGAGGTGTGCGACTGGCTGTGGGGGGCACGAGGAGAGGTAGAGGGCGACCTAAGAAGTATTGGGGAGAGGTGATCAGACAGGACATGATGCGACTTAGGATTACAGAGGACATGTCCCTTAATAAGCAAATTGTGGAGGTCAAGCATTAAGGTTGTAGGCTAGTGGGAAGTTGTGCATATTTATACGGTGCACCAGAGTGAGACTAGCCAGTTAGGATTTAGTTCTAGGATCCTAGTGGTTATCTACTGATGTATGGCTTTATCTGCTAGTTATTACTGTACTTTGAATTTAATTTATATTTCTTATATTGCTATTATTTTATTATGATTCTATTGACGATACTAATATATCATCTCTTGTAGCCTTCATGAGCTGAGGATCTCCTGAAAATAGCTCCTCTGCCCCTCAGGGTAGGGGTAAGGTCTGCGTACATATTACCCTCTCCAGACCCCACTTGTGGGATTACACTGGGCCGTTGTTGTTGTTGCTGTAAGTACCCGTACACAATATAGATGTAAGGCAATTAACCAAGCCTAATCCATATGCATTACCAAATAATGAACGTAAGTAAGGATGGCAAACGGGGCGCTGCAGGTGCGGGGAGGTGCGCATTTAAAGCTATGCGGGGTACGGGTTTAAAGTTATGTGAGGCAATACGGGTTTAAAGCTATGTGGGTCGGGGCGAGGCAGATGCGAGGCGGGTTGAAATACTTTTCATAAAACTAATGCGAGATGGGGCGGGTTGCGGGTCTATGCAAATTTAGTAAAAATGGTGTGTAGTAGCCACTAAATAAGGGTGTATTTAATTTTTATCGACTATTTAAAATGCTTATCAAAAATAGCCACTACTAAGGGGGAAAAGACACAATTACCCTTTCTCTATTTCTTGTATAATCCCAAAATCGACGAAAACCCTTATTTCATTCGTTCAGAGTTCTGCGCTTCTTCATCTTCCTCATATGCAAACTGCAATCTCAGTTAAACTTCTGCTCTTTCATCTTCTCCGTCATCTTCTGTCAATCGCGACTGGTAATATATTTTTTTATGCATTTTCGTTTTTCTTTATTTGTAAGTTGGTTCAATGCCGTGTGAAGTATGTGTGAAATTTCAAAAATTAGCATTATATGTTAACTGTGTTCATTAAATGTAAGGAAGAAACGACATTAAATTTTGTAGTTGGAATTCAAAGTTAAGGACTGATTGTCCTTAACTTTTGCACATGAAACTTGAAGTTAAGGACAAAGTGTCCTTAACTTTGGATGTTGAAAGTATATGTTAAGGACTGTATTTCCTTAACCTTTGCACTTACAATTTAAAGTTAAGGACTGATTGTCCTTAACTTTTGCACATGAAACTTGAAGTTAAGGACTAAGTGTCCTTAACTTTGGATGTTGAAAGTATAAGTTAAGGACTGTATTTCCTTAACCTTTGCATTTACAATTTAAAGTTAAGGACTTATTGTCCTTAACTTTTGCACATGAAACTTGAAGTTAAGGACTAAGTGTCCTTAACTTTGGAAGTTGAAAGTATAAGTTAAGGACTGTATTTCTTTAACGTTTGCACTTAAAATTTAAAGTTAAGGATTGTATTTGCTTAACTTTTAAACTTGAAATTTTAAGTTAAGTCCTAATCTTTGTTTGTTTTTCCTTCTTTTCTAGTGTTATAATGGAAGGCGATCATTTTTTTGATTTTGACGATTGGCGTAATTTTCTGGTATATTGGAAAGGAGATTTTCAATATAAGGAAACAATTAAAAGTTTTCTGTCGAATAGCCAATGGAAGAAATTGAGGGAAAGTATTTTTGGCAACTTCTTCAGATTACAAAGTGTGAAGTTCTCGGGTAAACTTATGCACTGTGTATTGCTTTCTGAAATTGTTAGTAATGAACCTGATTCGATGACCTTCAAGGTATTTGACCGCGATATTAAGTTTACTCGTGATGCATTCCATATTATTACTGGTTTGAAGTCTTATTCGTCGCTTGACATGAAAGGTTTAAATGAGAAAGAGAATAGGCTTTTAAGAGTCTATTTCCCTGGAAAGGACAAAATTGAGTTGGCTGATTTGTATAGTTTTATTTCTAGTCGCCCACATGGTACAACTTCATCATTTGCTGGCAGTGATGATGATGCTTTGAAGTTGGCAACACTCTATTTTGTTGAGTCGGTTTTGATGGGCACGAGGAAAAATAGGAATGTGTCGGAGCAAATAATGAAAATTCTTGACGATGATGCACTTTTCGCTTCCTTCAACTGGGGCTCTCTTGCTTATGAGACGCTATTAAAATCATTGAAGAGTTGCTTGAAATCAAATGAGAATGATGTTCAGAAGGAGAAAGAGAAAGAAAAAGATATTGATAGCTACACTTTAGTTGGCTTTCCTTTTGCGTTTTGTGTCTGGATTATGGAAGTACTTCCTATTTTCCAAGAGAAACAATTTGTGAACTTCAAAGAAGTTGGTTATCCTCGAATGTTATGTTATTCTGAAATGAAGTCTCCACAATTTGATGCTCTTTGTAGAAAATATTTCCATAATAAAAAAGTAAGTTAATGTAATTACTATCTCTTTTTTTGTTTATTTGTTTTAGTTATGTATACTTATGTTTAGTTTTTCTTATATAGTAGGTGTTTAAGTTGATTGAGGTATCACCCTTTATTCCCGTGGAAGAAGAAGATACAGAGCCTCTTTGTGTGGAGGAGCCAGTTTCACAAGATCGAGGCTCAAGGTCTTCTTCCACACAATTTGACGAAGGTGTACTTAAGGAAATTGTTAGAGTATGTGTTTCTGCCTTTGAATAGTATTAGTTTTTTATTTGATTATTTCTTGCTTACGAACACCTTTTTTTTTATATCATATTTTTTGATTCAGAGATTATCAGAGAGTTTTAAGAAAGATTTGCAAGCAGAAGTTACCAGAGTTAATTAGAAAATTGTTGTATCAGAAAAAAAGATTGAGAACAAAATCAAGGTAATTTCAGTTAGTCCAACTTTAGGATTTTGTGTCCTTAAATTTTGAACTTGGAATTGAAAGATAAGGACTTCTTGTCCTTAACTTTTGAACTTTGAAATGAAACTTAAGGACATCATGTCCTTAAGTTTTGAACTTGGAATTCAAAGTTAAGGACTTCTTGTCCTTAACTTTTGAACTTGGAGTTCAAACTTAAGGATTGCATTTCCTTAAGTTTTGAACTTTAAGTTCAAACTTAAGGACTGCCTGTCCTTAAGTTTTAAACATGTCCTTCTCTTTGTAACTTAGTTGCTTTCTCAGGATTTAAAGAAAACTCTAGGATCAAAGCTTGATACTTTGATGAACATGTTTGGGAAAGCTGATCAGATGAACACAGATAGAGAATCTAGTGTTCCAATTAGAAAATATGGAGTTGATGATCATTGTCGTGCTACTGAGCGTACTGGCATATTCAACCAAGATGCAGGTGGTGTTGAACGTGATTATATGGATGTGCATGCAGAGGGTCAGTATGAAAGAGAATTTAGAGATGCACATCTAGATGATGAAACTGAAAATGTTA